AGCTCGGATCTGACTCTTAGGCAAAGAAGTATTCGCCATAAGACGGGCTATTCTCCTGTTGTCCTGAGCAGTCAAAATACGTGGACGGTCACAAATAGGTTGTGAGCGATAGCTGCCAGGGTCTCGAACGAATCCAGCAATGCATGAAAAAGAGCGACCCAGTTGCCGTTCTAAAAGTATGTGTACACTCAAAATTTTTCATTTCATAGGTAACTAAAGGACCTATCGTAACGAAATCATCCTCGAACGATTTCTCGTAGTCGATAACATTTACAGAAATTCAGGGGGCCCTATATTTCTGATCTCGGTTATATTTTTGTTTTTTTGCCAAATGTGCAAATACTTTTGAAACAGAGAAAAAATTCTTCCTCAATAAAAAATTGTGTTAGCAGCTACGATGTTTTCCCAGAGAAAGTCTTCGTAGGTTATCGCACACAAGGAATTGAATGCTGAAGGTCACAGGTTACGGAAAGCATTGGTATCGCCAAAAAAACAAAATTGGGTGTGCACATACTTTTGAAACGCACTGTAGAAGAGGCATCCCGAAGATGGGAAGCCGCATGAGCATCCCCAAAACCCACGTTACTCTGTACCGTATGTTATGCCCGTAAAATTATTGACGATATCAAGTTCTTTGATGACCGTATCTGTGGAAGCTCCTGCACATTTCCTTCAGAAAGACGTCTGAGTTTATAGAACCCTGTGACCACAAGGCGATGTGGAAAGAACAATCCCATGGGTAATCGAAAGAGATGGCCCAGATTGAACAGATCCGAAGCCATTTCCGATATTGGTGCACTACCAATCCCAGCAACTCTTGCCTGATGTTGCACGTAGTTCATTGCCTGAGTGTTCACGTTTTCACATTGATGGCACGCATTAGGAGTTATTCCTTTGTGTTAGAATCTTTGTGAGTTGTTCGCTCCCTCGGGTGTTGCACATAGTTAGTGTCGGTTTTTCCCAGACCGAACGGAATCACAGATTTCCTTCGACCCACGTTCATTCGCGCTCCAACAATCATAACCTGACAACAAGACTACAAATTTTTCTTCAGCATTACATTCCAATTAACTATGTGTTGCTTTTCGTCAATACGACAGCGCCTAGGATTTTTGGGGTGATTCTCACTGAGCTTACATATTGGTCCCAGCTTCTCATTTGCGACGAATCTTGGGAGGACGGCGGTGGTTTTGTATCGCTGTAGAAGTTGTAGCGACTGTCGAGGGAGTACAACTTTTTGTCAAAGAGCAAGAGCCTACCGAACCAAACCGAACACGTGTGGCGATACATCCCGTAATAATTTCAAGTTCAGTCTTCTTATAACCTGAACATTCGCACAATGTGTTACTGCTTAACTAGACAGGTTTGTTAAATAGTATAATTGTATATTCGGTCAACATTTCGAAGCTATTGGAAGCGTTACATTCTCGCACTCGAAATCCGAAGCTGAACAATCGAAATGAGTGTGTAGCTATTACAAATAAATCCTTTCCGTTCAAACCTCATTGCGGACTTTGGGATCACCGCATATCCCGTATCATGCGACTGTTAGTGGTGTCTCATCCGTCCCGTGTTGTTCACATATTGAGTAGGACGTGAGCACTGGTGGACCAGCAGAACGTTAGTCACTTCTTTGGGATTTTCTGTGTTCAAGTTCAAGGAGATGTTGTAACTGGCCCAGTGCGTTAGGGCGCCTGACCGGGTAACCCACCCATAGATCAAGAGCTTGAAACCACTTTTAGGTCCGTGATGATAACGATTTGCTCGAAACGTCGACCGCTTCAAACGGTTCTACTATAACTAACCTGTTTGGCTAAGCACTATAACAAGTTGTCAGAACGCCCAGTTTTCGAAACTTGGAATTATACTCTGAGCGATAAGCCGTTTTTATGGGACACACATCGACCGATGGCTAACCAGGCAATTTTCGATTATTTTGAGCAAAAACGGCTGGAGTGAGCTAAAAAAGGTTGAATTACAGGGCGATTAAAAACGGGTGGAGAAAGTCCAAAACTAGTTGCTTCCTGTGGAGGTTTTAGAGGAAAAGTGTAATTTCATAGATAAGTACTTTTTTCGGAAGAGAAGATAAGGAGCTGGCGCTGCTTATCGTCGACTACGGCGACAATCCCCTACCAATCTCTCATCGCTCTAACGGTCTGGTACAACCTTCTAGTGGTATTGGCACGCCCATGATGGTATGGGGAGGGGGTCAAACGGGACCACATAAGGTTCGGTCCTTACTTCTTCCCTGAACAACGTCATGGGCAAGACGTAGGTAGTGTTGCATTAGATAAAGGCTTATTACTATTATTCCGTGTTTTCATTGCGGTAACGTCCACACTTTCATTCTGTCTGCTGAATTCTTTGCTCCGTTATCAATGGAGTCATAAAACCCAGTGAACAACTCATACCATGCTCCGTCCAGCCTTAAAAACTTTCATATCTTCCTCTTATTTTTATTTCAAAAATTCGAAGCAAGGACTAGAAGTTATGGTTGACTTCCTTTTCCAAAAATAGTCGAAGCACTGATATTGCTCAAACTCGCCTAACAAGGACTTCCTCCGTCGACAAACGTGTTCTCAGAGAATAAATAGAAACTGTAACTCGCCCAAGCTACCTCTAGCTTGGGTGAGCGACAGTTTGTATAGCTATCCTTTTCGTGATTCCGCTTGTAGTACGTCTAGCTTTTGTTTTGTCGACCACCCATCGTTTCAATACTGGTCTCGAACTGTTCTCAAAGGGCTTGCCAAAGGGAATGCCAACTTCGAGGGGCTGCAGGAATTACATCATTACGCTTCAAATAACTGCAATTTTGGAATGTTTTCTGTAAAGCTGACAATCGTTTTTCAACGAACTACACCTCGCAGAATTCAAGATTAACGATTGTTGGGAATGGTCATTGCTGTAACGCTATGGTGGCGGTACTTCTCCGCGAATTCCAACGGCAAGTGTCAGCTGTTCCTCGGCTGCTACCGTGTCCTTTTCTCTAGTAGCACGTGATCAGGTGTGGCGATCGCAATACGGTTTTCGGGCAGAAGTATAGTGCTGCTTCTGATAGCCCGTTTTCCTGATAGGGTCGATTTTCGGGATCAACAAATATGTAGTATGAAAGAGAAGAATTTGTCAAGAGTTGGATTAGTTCATCCTGCCTTATCCAGTATTTATCAATACATCCACCCATAAAGGATAAAGTCTTGGGGCTTTAGTCAGTCCCGTCAGAGGGATGCGCCCATGCATTCGACTTCTATTCAGAATCGTAGTGGCGTATTGAATGCGTATGTGGCCTAGACAAGGGCCTTCGGTGGCTAGCCGATGTACAATTCAGTTGTTCTATCCTTCCAGGCGAGTCTGGTACCAGTTAACCGATCACGGAGAGATGGAAAGCTTGGTTGGCCAAGGCATATGTCGATCCTGGACTCAAACCTGTGGCCATGCGTATGCGAAGTGCGCCGTTCACCCACGC